AAAAAAAAAAAAAAAAAATCATTAAAAATTAAGAATACATGTGTGTTACATTTTTGCACCTGTTGCTGTAGCTAATGCAAATTCCACCAATTACTTATAAAGCAAGTCCCTCAAATGAATTCTACTAAAGGTTGGGAGTAAAATGTAGAAAGAATCAAACCGAGTGATTCTTCATTCTTGTCTGATACTTTTATTTTTCTTCTTTTGGGTAAAATACTTGAAGATCATGGGTAAGTAAGTACTTATTCCAACTGTAGCAGAGTTAAATCTTGTATAACTATATCCATGTTCTGCAGTTAATTTCATTTCACTGAACTGAAATGGTTCTTTTTCCTATTTGTACCAACAAAATTAGGTACATGGGTTCGTTCAAGACAACAAAACTGGCGAGAAGGTAGCGTTTTTACTTGGAAAATGGGACGAGGCAATGTATTATGTGATGGGCGATCCTTCCACGAAAGCCAACGGTTATGATCCCATGACAGAAGCTGTTTTGCTCTGGGAAAGAGATAAATCAGTTCCCAAAACGAGGTACAATCTCACGCCCTTCGCCATATCTCTGAATGAGTTGACTTCTGGTCTACAAAAGAAACTTCCGCCAACCGACTCGAGGCTGAGGCCTGACCAGAGACATTTGGAGAACGGTGAGTATGAGCTGGCGAATGCCGAGAAGCTGAGGCTCGAACAATTGCAGAGACAGGTGAGATTTCAACTTTTAAAAAGAACCCGTTTTATACATATTTCGTGTTCACAGGGAAGATAAAGAAAAACTCGAAGGAAAAACAACTGAAAACCCAATTATTCTGTGAAAGGGAAACAAATTATATGACTATTGCATACAATCTCTGAGATGGGTTTATTCAACTTAGGGAATCATTAAATTTGCAGGCAAGGAAGCTGCAAGACAGAGGATGGCATCCGAGATGGTTCCGGAAGGATGAGGAAGGTTGTTATCGGTACATAGGTGGATATTGGGAGGCTAGAGAGAAAGATAGCTGGGAGGATATACCCGATATATTCAGACAGCCTTGCGAACTCCCGGTTAGTTTAGCCGAGGGATGAATATCATGAATAACTGCCTCTCAAGTTTATGATATTCGATCCATTTCCACTGTTTTTACGGAACCATATAGGAAACGACCCAAAAAAAAAAAAAAAAANNAAAAAAAAAAAAAAAATTTGTCCGATTTCAACGAGCGTGTCATGATCCTCGGTTGCCTGCTTATCCTACTAATATGTTTTGCCGTGTAAATTTTTTATTGCAATGCAGTGTTAAAATGGAGTCGGCTAATTTCACCATGCACAGAAACAGCTAGATACTTGAGGCTTTTGTTTACATTATTAAATCGAGTGATATTGTTTGACAAAACTGAAAAACTTCATGTTAAAAGACCATTTTCATGCTATATGAGACAACCTAACTTTTAAACAGATCGACTCGTCGTACATTTTTAACAAAAAGATAGTTGTTGGTTATACATACTGAAAACCTTTATGTTAAAAGACCATTTTCATGGCATATGAGACGACCTAACTTTTAAATGGATCAATTCGTCTACATTTTTAACAAAAAAGATAGTTGTTGTTTATACTCAACACAAATCAATAGAGGAATATCATATTTAACATGCTAAAATGCAACCACCGATGATGTATGACAAAGCAAGAGCTATGACAAAGCAAGAGCCACATAAACCATAAACCCGAATCTGCCAATCTTAACAAAAATGGCTAAAAAGAGATGCCAGACCAGTTTCAAATTAGCACAAGTTCAGTACTTTTTACGAACATAGATAAGCAAGATAGCTTCACAATTTAAAAAGACAACAAATAAACGAGAGCCATAGCAAAATACGAGTTTCTAGATAAATCAGTTGAGTTAATCCCGCTCCATTTGTTGTTGATAAAGTTCTTCTCTCATTCTGCTCATCTCAGCCTCCTCCTCCATTCTCTCCTGCACGTTACAACAATCATAGGACGGGTGAAAAGAAGTTAAACATCTAATTACAAAACACATCCTTGATGTTCGATTTAAATTACCAAAAAACCACCCTGCCTTCCCCAAATATTAGATAGATAGTCCCTCACTATATATATATATATATACATAATATCCGACAAGAGAAGGACGTGCATTAAGAAAATACACAAGGTCTAGACTCAATCATGCATTCATGAAGTTTTAAGATGTTGTAATCAGGCCAATCGAGATGTGTAGTTTTTTTGTAGTTATTCGTTGAATTTTAATTGATCATTCACGCACGAATGCAAACGCATTATTAGCACCAAACACATGCAACAAAAAATGTTCCTCGAATAAGAGTAATAAGGCCAAAGATCACAACAACAAATCAAGAAGCAAATTCAACAATGCAAAGAGCGGACTAGAAGTTCCATAATCCTACTTCCACCAGGGCTTGTTGGTTTTCTTTCCTCTGTCAATATCAATTTATTTATCAATGATTAGCAAAAGATAAAAAATCTCACAAATCACCAACCGTACCTCCGAGATCACCATGAAATTAAATCCAACCCCACACAACACATAAAAGAAACGAATCAACGGGATCAAACGACCCAAATCAAAATACATGTACATGCTGATAACTGTCGATTGCTTATATACATGTACAAATATAAATATTTCATCAACAATCATGTAAGGGCTTGGTTATACACATGTTCTTGCAGTCTCGCCACCAATTAAAGACAAAAAAAATACAAAAAACTGTCAGACCAACCTGCCACAATCATATCCAAATAAATGTACCTCAACAACCATAGTAATATGTCAAAACACATTTTAACCATTCCCTTTGTGAATAGTTTCTTATAAAGGGCTAAAACCCAAGCAAGATAGCTCACAAAACGATTTTGCTCAAAACAATCACTCTTTTGCTAACAGAGCTAATAAATGGGGAAAACAGAATTTTGCTGGCACAAACCGTTGTTTCCTCATTGCCAGCTGCTCATGCTAGCTGCCTTATTGCCTTCTATGATTGCTTGAGAAACGCTTATGAGATTATTCTATTTTTATCGACAAAAAGGGCTAGCATTTGGTCCTTGGTATCTTGAAAGAAACTTCGCTAACAAAGAGAGATCACAATGAAGAGGTAAATGCATACTCAAAACATCTAGTTATTGAGAAATAAGTCAACTTGGATTCACAAGAACTAAACTCACTTTGAAATCCAAGTTCTCCGACAACAATAAATATGTTATAAAAAATAATCTTATTCTTCCTCCCCAGAGGAAATAATAGATTCTGTTGAAGAAGTTTTTCTCGCTTGAAAATACACACTCACACACGCACAATGCAACTAGAGAATGATTCAAAAGGAGACCTGGGAGCACGGGAAAGAGAGCTTATTTCACTGTTTAGGGCTCTTGTAGCAGTCAGTCGCTCATTTGGATCAATTGAAAGTAGAGTATCCATTTGAGCCACTGCTGATGCCGAAAAATCTTTACTTTCATGCATCTTTTAAATGATTGTTGGGGTTTAAATACAGTTGCATGAGAGAGTTTTGATTTTTTCTAATATTCTTCTGATGGAGAACCATAGAGCTTGAAAATTCTGTGCAGCTGTTTCACTTTCACCTAAACAACACTTACAGCATTCAATTGAACTATAAAGCTAGCATAAGCAAACTTATGCTAACACAACTTCAAAAGTTACACTAAAAAAAATTGTAGTAATAAACCATCAACATAAGCATGCAAGTCTAAAAAAAAACAATGAAAAAAAAAATAAGCATGAAAGTTAGTCAAAGCCGTCTTATTTTAGTGTAGTTCCATGAGAACAAAAGGATAGGCGGCTGGAAAAGCTTATTGAACCCAGTTATTGATTAGGAGTTTAGGACCAAGCAAATGAGCATATAAACTAATGCAACCACAATGACATGTAGCAGAGGCCTTACCTGAAATAACAAACTTGGTGCTTCATCAAAATTTAGAAGAACAAAAACAACATAACACTAAAAGCAAATGTCATAGCTGGTTTAGCATGCAAATTCAGACAATGTATAATCTACCCAGAGTATTGAGTGATGAAGACCCTGCTGATCTCAAGCTGAAATTGCATTTGACTTACCACAGATATCGCTTCACTTCCTGATATAACGCTTGAAGTTGTCCCATCCTTCACTGCATCTTTCGTTGGTGGCATTGTTAGGGATGAAAAGCCGAGGGTCATTATAAAACCAAAATAACCCCCTGAGCCTACTCGGAGAGTTGGCCACATCTATCCTCATGTTACCAAATTCCCTAAAATTGAGTGGGAATAGGCCGTTGGGAGGATTGGCACCAACTTGATAAACCTGGTTGTTAAAGTCAACTCCCGGAACATTCGGAGGAGGGTCCACAAATGGATGGCCAGCAATGATCTTTGGGAGAATTCCGAAAGCTAAATCGGGCTGGTTGTATCTGATGGACCGATTGACGCTCCTCGCTGCATTTGCCCTAATGCTTGCGTCCAACTTCGTGTTGACGTCATATATGGCCCGCTGGAGTCGTGCATGGCCTTCTTGAACTTCAACCTGAAGACGTTCATGAGCCAATTGCTGAGCCTGTTGACGATCCTTAATTTCCTTTTGGCCATCTCGGAGGGTTTCAAATATGGCCATCAAATCGGGGTCAAACATCGCCATCAAATCGGGGTGGACGAGTACCATGCCACCATTGTTTCTCCTCATAAGCACGGAATTATACCGGATCTCGGCTGCTGCAGCATCAGCGGCGTTAATTGGCATCACTTCACTTTGTTTCTCGAACGTCTTCCTCCGGTGACACTCTCTTACGATTTGTTCATCGGTTGGGATTGCGCCATCTGGAATTTCATCGACGTCAATTCCAGTCAATATGAGATTTGGCGCTACATAATCTCCGAGTGCAGGCAGGGCTGGCGGATGAGCCATGGGATTTGGTGCGAACGATCGAAAAACAGGCGAGAGAAGCGGCTAGATTTGGTGCGAAAAAATAGAAGAACCTAGGGCTAGAGTGGAACGATCAAACTATGTAAACTCGACTTTAAAATTAACAATACATTTTTACGTTATTTTCTGTTACATTATTATTAAAGTAGTATATTCAGTAACTTTATATTTGATCTTCAAATCAAGATATTACGTAGTAGTATATTGAAAAAAAGTCTTCCAGTATAAAGTGTCCTACTATAAAAATACACATAAAAAACCATTTAACATCTTCACCAAAACATATAATATAGAATAATATATTTTTATTTAATTACTATCAGTTACAAATTTTGGCTCTATGTGATATTCATTATTTCAATTGCAGACGTTGCCCTTACAGAATGACACTAAGATTATTGTAAAAATTACATCAGTAGTTTTGTTTAATGATCAACAATTGAACATTCAGATTGTTGTTAAAAAAAAAATTATATTATTGTTTAATTTTCAACCATTGCCAAGTACCACCTCTGATATTAAAATTGATAAAATAAATGGTAGGACTGTTATTCGATTAATCTCACCTCTAATATTAAAATTGATAAAATAAATCGTAGGACTATTATTCAACAAATTTAATTATTGAAGAAGGCTATCATCCCGTCACGGAATCATTCCGTGAGAATTTTAGCCTTTAGATATACATAAAAATTAATTATTGTAGATAATCAATGTCTAAAAACTCTCACAAAATAATTCAGTGACGGGATGGTTTTCTTAACTATTAGCTAGACGATTATACACCTTTTAACAAATATGTATATATATTTTTTTTAAAAAAAATGACATGCTTTACAAACAACATTTAAACAAATATGAATTTTTCTCAGTATAAGTATACACGTTATTAAAAAGTATGATGAATCAATCTGACTAAATATAGAGTTACCTTACACAATAATCTGCGAATCAAATAGAATGAATGTAGTTAGGAGTGTAAACGAGCAGATACACATCCGAACTCCTGATACTCAAGGTCGAGCTTAAATAATTTCGAGTTGAGTGACTTGTTAATTAAACTATCCAAAAGGAGTGTAAACGAGCTGCACTTGAGCCTTAACGAGACAAAATCGAACCGCACTATATACTTTTTTGAGTTGAACCTAGCTCGAGCTCACACTGCTCGATCTCAAGCCTTTAAAGAGCTTATAATCGAGCTCAAGCTCGACTCGTTTATTAATATTAACGCGCCACATTCGAGTCTCAACGAGATAAAATCGAGCCGAACTATAGAAAAATACGTAAAAATTATTTTTTCGAGTTGAGTCGAGCTCGACTCGTTAATTAAATGAGCTTTAAATGAGTTCAAGCTCTACTCGTTCACCAAACGAACCGAGCCGAGCTCACGAACATCTTATTTAATTTAACAACTCTAGATTCAATACACGAGTTTAAGCTTGACTCGTTTATCAAGTTTTAACGAGTCAATCTCAAGTTTTAAACTCGACTCGTTTATCAAGTTTTAACGAGTCAATCTCAAGTTTTAATGAGCTAAACTTTACAAAATTATGTACAAAATTTTTATTTCCGAACACTAACCTAACGCTCAAAATGAAACGAATCGAAATCACAAGCGTCTTGTTTCATTTAATAGCAGTATAAGTAATTTGGTTCCATTTTTTACGATTGTGATGATGCCCCACCCAGAGCCTGCAGCAAACTCTAAGCACTAAAACTAAGGCAAATCGAACCACCGGCCGTTGAGTTTTAACTCGAGAAGCAGCTTCTCGACCAACAGCCGCGGTGGAGGAGGAGGCGGAGGAGGGCTTGATTCAGTCCCCGTGCTTGCGGGGAAAGTGATGAGGTGAGGAGCGTGGCCGGCATTCTTTACAAATGAGTGAATTACGGGAAGGGATGGAGGGTTAGATGGTTCGTGTTGGAGGATGGGGTTTTGTCGTATTACAAGGTGCATGGGCTGGATAAAATTATTGTCAGCTTGGCGAAGGAGAAAGGGTTTCGGGTGATTGGTGAAGAAAGCTGGAGGTACATGAAGAAGGGCAGCATTGGTAACTGGAGTGGGAATGGTTTTGTGGGGAATGGGTTTTTGGAGAGGTACATTTGAAGGTGAGCTGACTGATTTTCATTGAATTGAGTTGAAACATTTGGATTTTGTAGATTTTTGTCTGTTGCTTCTTTGTGCATTTTACTAAATATAGGTATATATTGGGTCATTGGGGTATTGCCATTAATGGAATAGAAGTGAATCTTTGCGAAATAATTTTGAACAGGTTTCATCTGTTCGGGCCAGCAAATCGGACGACAAAAGGCTTTACATATTCACCGGAACTAAAATTCTCCACCTTCGTTGCCAGTCGAAGGAGGACAGGGCTTTGTGGATTGAAGCACTTATGGTGGCTAAAGATAAATTTCCAATTAAATTGACAAGCAATGAGTTGGCTCCTTCTGAAGAAATCGTAGTTTCGATTGAGAAACTGAGGTCGAGATTGACTCAGGAAGGGATTAGTGAGACAGTGGTCAAAGATTGTGAATCTATAATGCTAGGTGAGATTGCATTGATACCGGACCAGTTGCAGAATCTTCAAATCAAGCACGTCTTGTTGCTCGACACATTAAGGAGACTCGAGGTTGTATTTTATCCTTTGCTTGTGAAAACTTTTTTGCTTGCACAAATGGGCTTCTGCTGTTTTTTGCTTTAGATGACTTTATTCTGTTCTTTGGAACCATTTCGTGGTTATGCTCAGGAAATACTAGGTTTTAGACAGATGAAATGGTTTAAAAAATGAGTACAAGATGCCTCCCTTTTCTTTTCGGATATTAGCTTATTTCTCATCCTCATTGTCATGTCCCCATGATAACTGTTTGAAATGAAACTGAGACGATAACGTGATGTGTACTGGATTATCTTGATTTGTCTTAGCACATAACTTGCATAACTCCATTACATCCCACATAAAATTGGTTAAATTTCATCTACAGACTGTAGTTGATGAGACCAAGGCTCGGGATTCATGTTGTACACAGGGGAGAAGGTTTGGTGAGTTCATCATCATTTATACTGTGGTTTATTTGAACTCAGCAGGTGTTTGTTTTGATACCCAACTCGTAATGTTTCCAAATGTAACTGATTAGCTATTTTTTTTTTTTTTTTTTGTTTAAATTAAGCAGTTTCGGATTTCTATTCGGTTATGTCGGGGGCAATTGCTACTGACTCAGAAGCAGATAACGAAAGTCGATATGGAGTCGATGTTGAAACGGAAGATGAAAGAATCTTTTTCGACACGAATGATTTCATGTGTGCAGAGTCTCTCAGAAGCAGTTCATACAGAAGACGAGATAATCCTGTATATGCTCATAGTCCCTCAACAACTGAAAGGCGATCTTCCTTCTCTGGTGTCGGTCAATCCAGCTCGATCCTGTGGGGGTTTTAACCTTGCAATTTGAGGATGGTGAGACATTTCAGTGGAGTAAGGTCACAACTTCTATATACAACATCATAATCGGTAAAATCTATTGCGATCATTATGGAACCATGCGCATCAAAGGCAATGGTCGATATTCGTGCAAGTTCAAGTTCAAAGAGCAGTCCATCATAGACCGAAATCCACATCAAGTTCAAAACTAGCTTTGAGTTTTNATCATCATTAAGACTGCATGTGTGTTACATTTTTACACTTGTTGTTAATGTAGGCTGTAGCTAATGCAAATTAGTGATTTATGTCACCAAATATTTATAAAGCAAGTCCCTCAAAATTCTCCGAATTCTACTGAAGGTTGGGAGTAAAATAGTGATTCTTCATTCTTGTCCGATACTTTTGTTTTTTTTTTCTTCTTTTGGGGAAAAATACTTGAAGCCCATGGATAAGTAAGTACTTAGTTATTCCAAATGTAGCAGAGTTAAATCTTGTATAACTATATCCATGTTTTGCTGTTAATTTCACTGAGAACTGTAATTTTTCTTTTTCCTAATTGTACGAACAAAATTAGGTACATGGGTTCGTTCAAGACAACAAAACCGGCGAGAAGGTAGCGTTTTTACTTGGAAAATGGGACGAGGCAATGTATTACGTGATGGGCGATCCTTCCACGAAAGCCAACGGTTATGATCCCATGACAGAAGCCATTTTGCTCTGGGAAAGAGATAAATCGGTACCCAAGACAAGGTACAATCTCACGCCCTTCGCCGTATCTCTGAATGAGTTGACTTCTGGTCTTCAAAAGAAACTGCCGCCAACCGACTCGAGGCTGAGGCCCGACCATAGACATTTGGAGAACGGTGAGTATGAGCTGGCGAATGCCGAGAAGCTGAGGCTCGAACAATTGCAGAGACAGGTGAGCGCGCATACGATTATACATTTGTAGGGTGTGTTTGGATACAAAAATATCCGCTGAAAAATGAGTTTTTCGGGTTAAGTAGAGGTAATTTTGAAAAATGTGGTATGGTTAGTTGGTAGTGGAATTTTAAGGCTTTTATTAAAATAATATTTAAAATAAAACAATTAAAGTTGATTTGATGTGAAAGTAAGAGAGAGATAATGTGAAGTGATGGTTAGTTAAAATAATGTGAGTGAATGAATAGTGAATTAAGATTGTAATATTTAAGAATGATTGATTGTTATTATTCAATTATATTGATAATATTGAGGATAATTGAGTTGAGTTAAAGTTAGAGTTAGATTTTGAGAATAGATTGAGTATGAATTGAGTTTATTTATAAACAAACACACCCTTAAAAAGAAAAACGAAGATTTCAGCATTTAAAACGAAACCATTTTATACATATTTCGTGTTCACAGGAAAGATAAAGAAAAACTCAGAAAGGACAAACAACTGAAAAACCAATTATTCTGTGAAAGGGAAACAAATTATGACTATTGCATATAATCCTTGAGATGGGTTTATTCAACTTAGGGAACCATTAAATTTGCATGCAAGGAAGCTGCAAGACAGAGGATGGCATCCGAGATGGTTCCGGAAGGATGAGGAAGGTTGTTATCGGTACATAGGTGGGTATTGGGAGGCTAGAGAGAAAGGTTGCTGGGAGGATATACCCGATATATTCAGACAGCCTTGCGAACTCCCTGTTAGTTTAGTCGAAAGATGAATATCAGTGCCTAATAAAAGTGATAGGGCAGCACCCTCGCAAGTCTGATCGAACTTTTGGTCGAAAATATGGACTAAAGTAATAACTAATAAGTTGGGAAGAGTATTCCACAGAAAAATGTGTACAAAAACAAAATAAAGTTAGAAGTACAATTTATCTTTTTTTTTTTTCATAGAATATATTACGGTTTCTATAATCGAATGATTTTATATGTACTATTTCGATTTAATACGTATAAGGTAGTACTACTCACTTTAATTAAAGTAAATATATGGCCTATTATTATTATGAATTTAATTGATAATGTAAGAAAAGTTGTTTTGTACTGATTTGTCGTTCTATTTTTTCGTCAATGGATGATATAGGAAAATTCTCAAAATCATCTTATGGTAATTGATAAATTATTTCTAAATATATATATATGTGTAAACACAAGTTTTGGTAGCTTAAAACTGAGTTTAAACATCTTTAAAAGTTAGTTAAAATCGCAAACTAATAAGTTTGAGTGCGTGAGTATTGTTGGACGCTTACAAACATGACGAGGCCACTGCGGCTCTGCATATCCCGTGACCCTAGAAACTCTTGGTCACTACTATTTCGACTTTGTTAGGATGCGTTTGTTCGTTTTCAAGTTCGTTCCAAAAGGTATCTTTTGATCCACGCAGCACATGGTAAAGTATTCGCATATCTATTAATGCCCCAAATGTTTGAACTTTGATTCTAGCGAATTAATCGAACGATAATTAACATGTTATAAAGTAAGATATCATAACATGACATCTTGTATCCATTAATTTTATTTATTTATTCTCTACACAAGTAAGTTCATGAAAATTTTGTATATGTATTTATAGTGACACTATATGTCGCTGTATTTTGGAGACATTTGATTGATAACCATGAACATTAAGCGGTATAGCAAATTTCGTTACGAATAACGTGTTTCACATGCCTCAGACTTTGATCAAATTTACTATTATTCGAGTTCTTTGAATTTCAGATAATTAATTTGAAAATTGTTCGTGATTTTTTTTTTTTTTTGTTGATAATGCTTTACAAAAAGATAACTATATACACAAATATCCTAACAGTGGGTGTGATTCTATATGAGTTATGACTTATTTTAACGGTTATGACCGGTTGAGTTATTTCATATATCCAATCATCTAACTCAAAATTCAACTTAACTAGACTCTCATATTTTCTATAAATATAATTAAATAATATCAATCAATCATTCTAATACATCACATCAATGTTAATTCAATATTCATCAACTTAAAATAATTTTAAATATCTATCGCTTCCAATAACATGTCTCCTACTTTTATATCACATCTGACTTTTATAATTATATTTTAAATATTATTAAATTTTAAATTCAAAATCATCTATTCAATATACTTTATTGACAATAATTCACTTTAACCAAACCAAACAAGTCAAAATCGGTTGAATTCATATTTAATCCTACCTTAACTCCCTAAANCTCCCTAAAAAATCTATCTCTTTATAATTTTCACCAGCACCATAGTTAGTTTTTTACGAGCACCTTATAGTTAGTCTAGTTAGTTTTGCATTTGACTATTCGAGATGCTTCAAATCCAATATACATATCTAATCTAAGTTTATGGTCCACAAAAGAAGAGGCCAATAAACACAAGATAGTTAATTTGTTCATAATGTGTTGCTTTTCAGGACAAAATGTCTCGCCACGACCCACGAGTCGGGTTAAAGAAGTCTATTCTCATGAAGGTGCCATTGGATATTATTGAATACGCATTTTTCATAAAAACATATTATTCAATTATGTTATATTATTCTCCAATTAGAGTTATAAAAATAGAATTGAAGTAAAATCCTCTTGCATTTATTCTATAATAGTTACTATTAATTCAATAATTCTTAATTGTAAATATAACTATACTATTTCTTTATCACGTCACGTTAACTTAGTAATTTTTCACTTTACATTAACTTGCATTAAATATAATTAATTTCACATTAATTACATTAAGATAATTAAATTTAAATTAATATGTATTCCAAGATTTGTACTAATCATTCTAAAAAATCTATATATATATAATTGCTATTGCTAGCTAAGCAATAAATTTTACCTAATAAATAAAACCTAATAAATTTTACCTATGTGGCAAATCATTAATAAAACCTAATAAATAGAACCTAATAAATTTTATTTATGTGGCATTAATACACCCAATCTCATTAATAAGAAAATATTTCATTACATTTTTTGGGTTAATTAAGACAAAAACCATTATATTTTATGTTAATTGATTAATAATTATATTTTTTATTGAATAATATAATAGTTAATATTAAAATTAGTAATTATATTTTATACTAAATAATATATGAAAGTTACATAAAATTATATTTTACACTAAAATCAATATTTTTTATATGATAAAGATGTTGTTTATTAATAAATTAATTTTTTTTATGTCATAGTAAAATTTCTTAAAATCACATAAGCAATTGTTATAATAAATGTAATATTTTTCAGCTAATTAATTGGTCATGATCACTCAAAATTATAAAAAGTATATATTTATTACATTTTATGCAATCGTGATTCGTCGTGTGTACTATTTATTTTAACCAATGATCAAATTTTAAAATATAATACTATTATATAATTTATAATTTTAATATTATATACATAAATATAACTTATAATACTATATGTTTGAAATATAATACAATTATATAACTTATAATTTTTATATTATATACATATATATAACTTATAATATTTAATTTTATTTACATCTGTGCAAATGCACAAAGTCGAATACTAGTTTAATTAAATGAGAGGTTAGGGTTACAAACGAGCCAAGTCGAGTTGAGCATTGGTCTTATTAAGCATGATTGGTGGTTTTTTTAGCTGTTCGAGCTTGAGATCGATTTATGAGGCTCGAGCTCGACTCGCTAAAAAAGTGAAATCACTCGAGTTCGACTTCAAAAATTTTAATAGGTAAATATATATATATATATATAAGAGATATTTTAGTAATTTAATATATATCTCGAGCCACTTGATGAGCCGTTCAACAATGCAAAATATGGGCTCAAACTCGACTCAAGTTCTTGCTCGTACCGTTTGAGCGACTTGATCAGTTCGATCGAACTCAAACTCGAATCAAGCTTTGACTAGAAATCGTTTGCAGCCGTATGTGGGATAACACGTGAAAATTCTCACTTCAACAAATTTTCACGAAAGCATGTTTCTTTTTTAATATTGTTTTGTGGGTTTCCTTTTTTTGATGATGCACGTAAAATTAGACCAGTTTCTTCTAGTTATTCTGCTTTCGATTAGTTGGGTTCCACGTGGCACAAGTCCAGTGTTTATGTGAGTTACAAGTCAATAATTAGTAAAATCAATATTAATTAGTGAATTAAGATCTTATTGTTGGTCTTTGTTTGACATCCGTTGACAATGATAAATGACCAGTCACCAGTAGATTTGAAAATTTGGTGTTGACTTTTTTTTACTCTTTATTAAGTCTGCAGTTACCTTTTTATTTTGGAGTAATGACCCACGATTCTTGATTTTGGTCTTGCGTATTGAAATATGTAAGTGTGGATTAATTTTAAATTCATTTGTGTTGGTTTAACGATTACGCTAGAATTAATCTATATATATATAATTGCTAGCTAAGCAATAAATTTTACTTAATAAATAAAATTTAATAAATTTTACCTATGTGGCAAATCATTAATAAAACCTAATAAATAGAACCTAATAAATTTTATTTATGTGGCATTAATACACCCAATCTCATTAATAAGAAAATATTTTATTACATTTTTTTGGGTTAATTAAGACCAAAATCATTATATTTTATGTTAATTGATTAATAATTATATTTTTTATTGAATAATATAATAGTTAATATTAAAATTAGTTATTATATTTTACACCATGTCATTGTGGTGTAGATTATTATTATTATTATTATTATTATTATTATTATTATTATTATTATTATTAGTAGTAGTAGTAGTAGTAGGTATCTTGAAGAATAAATTAGAAATTAAATATTATTATACAAGATCTTGTCTTGTTGGACAAGTTACTTTAGGGTTTTGGGTGTCTTATTTAAACTCTTCTTCTTTGTTATCTAGTGGTGGATTATTGAAATGAAATAAGATTGTGAGTTAGAGAGAGTATCGCGTTTATCCTTCTCATTTGTACGCTTCCCTACATTACATTAGTTAGAATTCTTTACTGTGGGTTTATTTAATTGGGAGGACAACAAACTCAACAAATAAGAGGGTTTTATATTTAAAATATGTTTTAAAAATTTGCAAATTGGATAATTATTCTTGTTATGTAGGTCTAACCGTTGGATAATTATATTAAAAAATAGAAATAATTAATTAAATATGTAATGTTATTTATTTTTAGTTATATGTTATACTTAATTATATTTATTGTTTATATAATTTAAAAGATATATATTAATTATGAACTAAAACTAAATAAATTAATACATAAAAAATATTTTATTTAATTTTTATAATTATATTATTTGTATAATTATAGATTATTGTATTACTTATTATTTAATAAATTTAGTTTTTATTTTATTCTTTATTATTTAAATAAATAAATAATATTATATTATTTAATATAATTAATTATTAATATAATAAATAAATAAATAATAAACAATATATTATTTAATATATATATATATATATAATATATAATACTCATTTATTTCTTATAATATTTACTATATTTATTTATGTAGTAAATATTTATTTAATATATAATAGAATTAACTAAAATTTAATAAGGTAAATTAGTATAAAAAACATTATTAATGATACTAAACGATTAATTATACAGCATGATTAAATAATATAATATTATTTATTAATTTAATTAATTTACTAATTTTTATTTCGTAATCAATAAATATTTTATAAATAAATTATTTATAAATTTTATAATTAAAAGTAGTATAAATTGAAATATATATATATATATATATATATATAT